TTTCATATTTCACCTAATTTATATCCGATTGCTTAAAATGCTAATCAATAGTTTCATAAAAAGGATGTTTGCTAAATGAATGTAACCATTTTAACTCTGTAATCTAATTTTCTAAGCAAAATAATTTTTTACAAGTAAACGAAAATTCATTTTTCATTATGTGTATCCGAACGATTATTTCGGTTTTTTGTTTGTAAATGAAGCTTATTTGTTATAAGAACGTATAGATAGAGTTTCGTGAGTATTTTAAAGTGAGTTTGAAGAAATACTGGTTATGTTATCATGATAATGCTTGTAGGAATAATGAGAAAGGCTAACTTATTTCGAATTATTTCTTCTCTCTGACTAAAACTTTGTTAGGTATTGTTGCATCCTCAACCGTTAATCAATATCAGGTGACAACACACAAAACACCTATCAGAATTATATTAGAACCAGAAACTGTGATCCACAACTTGAAATCAGGTTAGAAATAATAAATCACACAAATTGTAGTTAATGAGTTGAAATAATCTAGTCGCTGAATAATTTTACAATGAGGTCATACACAATAATAATCCATTCTTTTAATCTTCTCCCTTATATATCAAGTGCCTGTGATGAAAATAGTATCAATGGGACGAAACACTTTTAGCTTAACCTCAAATGACTTTTATTGTTTATTTGATACAATAAACTTCGTCATGTCTATCTGTAGATTGATCTGTCACCTCAAAGTAAATAAAGTAGTATATTCATTTTTATTAATGTTTCGAGTTTGCTGTTATTGATTTTTCCCTAACTAAGATCATCAGTTCATGGTGAAATATAAATTTGTGGAATAACTGCATTTACAGTCTTTATAATCATATATTAATTATGCATGATTAACGTAAATAAAATAAAATTCATAATTTGAATTTCCTTTTTTTATTCGAAATACAATTCAAAGTTAAGGTGTGTAAATTAAAAAATGAAAAATTTAATGTATAATATTAAAAAAAAACTCAGTACCACTACTTATGGTATCATCATCTATTCATAATTGAGATGAGATTAGAGATTGAGTTGAAATATCTGTAATTAGAGTTTTTTATAACTAAACAAATTTTATATTACAGATGGAAACTTGAGATTAGAATTTAACTAGTGATTATCATTTTATGCAATCATAAATAAATTTCGATTTCATATTGAAATTCAATGCTCAATATCATTTAGATATCAATTAAACAATGAATTCTTTTTGTTTGTTTTTTTCTAAAATGTACTAATAACATAGATAATATATCATGTGAGCTTTCAATAATTATTTATTGAATCATGGATGAATGTTTTTTTTCTTCTTTCAAATTTAACATGAACTTTACAATAACATGATGAATTCTCGTAAAGGTTGTTGTTCATCAGTGCACATCTCATTGTTAATTAATTAATATCATTCCAATGGTAATGATTACAGCAGTTAGTCATATTAATTTTACTAATGAATAAAGGACAATTTTCATAGTTGTAATCATAAAATTATCTAAATTAGATCACTATTAGAAACCTGGAAGCATTGGACGGCTATCTATGAAAATGTTGGATTCACAGTACTAATGAGTCTTAAACTAGGATGAAATGGCCATCCAGTGCTCCACAGGTTTATTATCTTGATATAGCTTCGATCAGTTCTTGATTTGAACTATGGAAGATCCACTAATCTCCTTCATTAATAGATAACAATTATGAGACACTGATTATTACTCAAATTTGAAATAATGATTTAAAGTTGCCTCTTTTTGATGTAATAATTTTGTATTTATCATAACACTTTTACTGTTAATGTCCAATTAGTATAAAGTAAAGCAATGAAATAATTTACAACAGAAAACCATTCTTTGTAAAACAAACAAATGATGTTTTATGTTAGGTTTTTAAAGCATTACTGATTAAGGTTAAGGTATATAGACTGATTCATGTTGAAAAGATTAACATATAAAGCCAGTTTGAATAGTGTGAAAAATGATTCCGTTCTAACTAAAAGGTCACTGCTTTAGTCATATGATAACAAACTTAGTATTGATAAAATGAAATTGATTTTATACCGAGTAATTTGTAAATCTATCATTTGTAATTTTCATGGCATACTTTTTGTATAACAAGAAAATAAAGATTACATACTATGGATGGAATGTGTCCTTCAGGAGGATTCAGGATGCACATTTCTTCATGATTAGGACTTGCCAACTGGATGTACTAGTATTCTAGAGTTGATGTTTACTCCGGTATTTGTACCGAGTACTGTTTGCTTCAAATGCGACTGCCTTACCTACTGAACTATTTAGTCCAGATAATCATTCATTTTTTGCAGAAGGTATGAGATTTAATTCTATTTGAAACGGTTTGGCTTATCCGGTTCTTAAGATATATGACTAGAATTTGTTCAGTCCGGAAGTGAACATCACCTTTGGCATGTTGACATACTGAACTGAAAAGTCCGAAATAAGACGAGATGGGAATCCTTGATTTCAATGCTAATAACATTCCATCTACATGATATTAACTTGTGTCATAATGACTATATCGAATCACTCATTACAGGATGCCAATAAGTAAACCGATACCGACTAAATTTAAGTTGGAAATATCAACTACAGGATAGGCCAAATCATTTGAAATAGAATACAAATATTTTGATTTTTAGAAAGGTTCTTTAAGTAAACTTACTACTATACTATGTTATCTAATTGGAATATGACCAAATAAATAAATAATTTCATGTTTTGTGTTCAAAAGAAAGAATATAATTTTTTGTGACCAAGTCTTGTTGAAGACTTCTGATGTCTCAAGACGATAAGCTTAGAAAAAACCTAATCATTAACAAATTTTCTGACCACACGAATTTAATCAATATTATTGTCAAAATGAATTGTCTTATTTACTTATCATATCTACAATGTTGAATTCACTTTAACTGAACTTCAGCATCAGGTATACAATTTCTGCATGAGAGTCAATTGTAAAGATAGGGTTGTACGACCACGAAATAAGGCTAATTATATAAAAACGTCTGTTCACATAATCAGCTATGAAGAGATAAAAATTATGACTGCACTAAAAGTCGACAAAAGACAGAAATATTCAGTGTTTTACAAACTTTCATTTTATTTCCAGTATACCATTCATGAAATTATGCAGATACAAGGACTACAAAACTATTTTCAATGGTTCACTACCAGTAGTGAGTACAGTCATAAACTTTTTCCTTCCTTAAAAGACCACTTTACATTTTGTTATCTAGAAATGAAGCTTAAGAAACTTAATAAGATTTCATCAGCCGTAACTTTATCACTCAGTAAACAAATAAAATCAAGATTTATTAATTCAAAAAATCTTTTATCAGGAAATACCCCTATACTAACAGAACTTTCTTCCTTTAGTGCCAAGATCACATTAGTAGTAAAATACTAAATGGTTGTAATGACCAACAATGAAGAAAATTTTCGCCTAAGACATTACTCTATTGCATGTATTTTTGTATAAGTTTTTCATGAAATCTTTAAGTTAGATTCATCTGTATCAAAAAAATTCTGTTTAGTAGTTTTGTTTTTATGAGAACACTTAAAGAGTGCCAAATATTTTAAAACCGTGAACTTATATTACAATATTTTTTTTTAAAAATTCAGTAAGCAAATTTTTTTTCACATTTCAGTTTACCTTCAGCTACATTTAGAAGTCTTAATTTTTTATACAGTCAAGTCAAGAAAACTGACAGGATTTCACTCATCTCAGTAAAATTTATTGATCTGATCTTCGTTTGAATAGAATATAGTGTTTTTTTTTATTACTTGAAGTTTCCTCCAAATAGTTGATTTTTTTAAAACAAATGAATGTTTATTGGAGTAGATTACATGTAAGTGCACATTAATGCATGAATTCTTATAGACCAATCTCATTTTTTTGACTGAATAAAATGTAGTAATGCTTAGTTCATCTTCCAATATTTTCCTAATCGATTATATTAAAATAATAGAATGTAAATCGATAAAAATTTCAACATTTAAATATATAGTCAACATAATTATTAATTATAAATTATATAAATTGACCCTGTGTTGTCAAGAGCAATTTTACTTTGGTTTTCAGGAGAACCAAAGAGACTGCACACGTTTTACCATTACAACATGGACAGTTCGGCTCAATCCTGTGGTGCAACCACACAGGTACCTGATACCCTGGTGGACCATTCACACCGTTTCATATACACACACTTGTATATATATTTCCGAACTATGATCGCGTCAGTCAATATGCACCTCATGAAACAGGCCATTTCGACCCATCCCACTTACATGACTGCCAAACTCTATTATTGGCAATGCTAATACGTAATACAGCACCACAATGACAATGGCCCTCGAGAATGTTGCAAAAAAACCACCCATATAAATGAAACCGGTCGCCCTGCTAACCGATTTTGTATATGGACCGTTAACAATGCTTACCAAAGCAAAGCCAAGCCATCCACAATATTCACAGCGAACCTCTAGTCTCATAGGAGACCTTCAGCTCTATATAGCAGTATAGCATTTGGTGTACACAAATATGGCGCAGGATAGTAGAAGAGGCAGCCCAGCTTGATGCAAATAGGCCCAAACACTTCTATTATCCTTTGTCTCATGTCGGGCAATGATTTTTTCGAAATTTTCATTTTTCGACCATATGAGACCTGAGTTAGGGGTAGTATCCCTATGTTACAATATAAACCATCGAATCACTAAACGAACTTTAAAATTCTGTCTTTATTTAAAAGCATCTGTTATTGTAAATCTATCATCATCTATTGTCTTTAAAATGTCATATTAGAACTTTTAGACAAATTATAACAATGTAAACGAAAACACATTCCATTGCATTCGTTGATTTTGGGTATCAAACTCAAACCGTTCGCGACCGTTGTGTTTGTATTCGATTAAACATTGAATCATGTATTTGTGATAGAATGGCCTAGATGTCCTGCAGGAAACTTTGGACTGATGAATTATGGATCCCAAGGACAGTCATCAGTAAATGCTTGGAATCGATTTGATGTCTTGGATCCTAATTATGCATGGAATAATGCAACACCGAGTTCAGGTATTGGTATGGGGTTAACTCCTTACGGACAACTTTCTAGTGGTCCGTTTTCGCCCTACTATAGTGTCACAGAGTTAAATAGTTACAATAGTATGCCATATGGAAATGTGAACAACAGTCGACTTGCCAGTGATGGATTGAGTTGTTTTGGACAGTCACAACCCTGGAACGTTACAAACAGCAAATCAACTGCCTTGTCAGGGACAGTATCATTTCAAAATTACATATCGACCGGTATTAATTCCTTACCCACTGTTTCCAGTTCATCTGCATTCAACGCCGTTAGTGGTCAAAGCAATACAAACAAATATGGAAGTAATACATCTACGTCCATTGTAAGTAACATATCCTATCCTACACAATCATCGGTCACAAATGCTTGGTCAGGTGCGAGCGGTGTTAGCTGTGCTTTATATACAGGAACGAACACTACTTCTACTCAAGTGCCGGCTATTGCAATTTCTGCTCCCACAAATTTAAGTGCTGGAAGTTATTCCTCAAATGTCCCAAATATTACTTCAGCTGCCGGTATAGTAGCACAAACTGCTGCTCAAACAAGGGAATTAGATCTGGCACGTATGGAGGTGGTAGCTGCATTACTTCATGGTATGCCATTACAACCAGAAGAAGTCGATCGTGCAGACTTATTGGATGCTAAATCTCATTTGATTGCAAAGTGAGTCTAGGTTATTCTATGCATAAATGACAATGATTATTATCCCACTTTCTAACAAAAATGATGAAAATAAGTCCATAAGCAACTTTAAGTAATCTCATTCACTTTAAATAGAGTTTTCTCAATTTTGATTGCTCGGTGCTCCCGTTGATAGGAATTATTTTAAAGAAAACACAGTTAGTTCTGTCCCCTTCATTTTACTAAATAAAATTCAAAATATACCTATAAGACAAATAAATTTAGAAATTCCTAGTACTGACAACCCTGCATGCAAATGTCTATGATTGATATCACATCAATGTCAGTCACTCAGCTACAACGTAGAACTTTGCACGTAATTACAGCATAATTAAGATTAATTGAAACAATTAGTCCCTTTTATAAATTTTGATAGAACAGTGAGAAGACGTAATTGATCTGAAAAATGTGATGTATTTGCGCTATACATTTCGAACAATCTGGTCACACATATTTACTTGTCAAGGCATTTTATATAAAGATTAATAAAAGGTCAATTAAATAAAAGTTCAAATAGACTGTAAGGTGATAATTGTAAATAAAGGAGAGAGAAAATTAACGTAATATGAAAAGAATAAGAAGGGGTAGGAAAATTGTCACATTACCCTAGGCTTAAAGATTACCAGGGTAAATTCAAGGTTATGACAAATTGTTTCTGCACACATAAGGGGGGTTTTAATTTTCTAATAGCCAAGGCCTCCATAAACCTCAAAATTCGTCCTTCAAAACATTGTATAGAAATGTTGAAGGACGAATTTTGAGGTTTATGGAGGCCTTGGCTATTAGAAAATTAAAACCCCCCTTATGTGTGCAGAAACAATTTGTCATAACCTTGAATTTACCCTGGTAATCTTTAAGCCTAGGGTAATGTGACAATTTTCCTACCCCTTCTTATTCTTTTCATATTACGTTAATTTTCTCTCTCCTTTATTTACAATTATCACCTTACAGTCTATTTGAACTTTTATTTAATTGACCTTTTATTAATCTTTATATAAAATGCCTTGACAAGTAAATATGTGTGACCAGATTGTTCGAAATGTATAGCGCAAATACATCACATTTTTCAGATCAATTACGTCTTCTCACTGTTCTAAGATTAATTGGTTTCAATGTATAGATTCAAACCAGAAACTTATGGGCATAGCATTTACCTAATTAATTATTAATGTAAGTAAACAAATTTAGTATTTTCAAATTAATATGTTCAATCCCTTAATCGAACATAATCATAAGTTCTAAGTCAAGATATCTTGTCATAAGTATCAATACCAGTTTATTTCGTTTAATCATATTGGTAACAGTTATTGAATAGAAAATTGACTATCATCTTTTTCGCCCAGAACAGAGTAGGTTGGAGAGTACTGGCGGGCGACTTATGCTCCTTTGGGGGGTAACAGATGTAATTAAGTAAGCACTCTTTAGATTATCAATTAATCCACTTAAGATATTTGAAATTTTTATGTACTTTGTTGATGATCCAAGACGATATTTACTCTACAAAAGACAAACAGATATTTATTGAATCATAATCATGAATACAATGATACTTCTAGCATAAAAGTAAACAGTTATGAAAACGTTTGGCATAATTTTGGATAGTTATATTTTTAGTTAAAATCAGTGTAGTAATAAGTCAATACTACATTCTTTGGTCTATTGTCTCAGAAGTTTTACAGAAACGTGACCTTAAAATAATTACTTATCGTTGACATAAATGTTCATAATAAGGTCGTGTTTAAAATTTAATATTCAGAGTGTACATGTCTCATAAGTTTGTAATGAATAATAAAATAATAAATACAAAATCATCATATATTTTTTGTTCGTTCTACTGTGACTATTCGATCCAGTAGCAATGGCAGTTTGTTATATTTGAAAGAAGTTCACATCACAGACTGATATTGGCGAAATGACTCTGAAGAACAAGTGATCTCATTGATGATATGTTTTGTTCTAGCTTAACATTTCACAGGAGAATACCTTGATACACCACCTTTAAACTTAAGAACACCACGTCTCTATTAGGCTATAATACATTTGTACCATTATGCCTGAATTCACTCATCCATGTATGTGACTTAATCTTGCTAGGTAGAGAGAGCTTGAACAACATCTAGTGTCTCAATTTTACATGGTTTATTTCTACTTATTATCTAGTCAGGCGAGTTCTGTTTTTTTGATACGGACATGGAAACTATTATCATCAGTTAGTTTTTCTGTCTTTAGAATCTATCTATTATCGTATTCGAATCAAAAAAGGTTTTTGTACAAATATAAGTTAAGCAGTACCAACAATCAGCTTTTCAAATAAATTCAAAGAAAATGGCCGTGTTTTTTGCTGTTTTTCAAGTTTGTAGTATAAGACAGATTCAATATTCTAATAAGGATCTATTAATCATATCTGTGCTACAGAAATGAGTTAAAATCAGAAAAATCCAGTTTACTTATCACAACAACAGTCCATTTGGTGTACAGCAGTGAATTTCTCAGTACATCGTTCAGCTCAATATAAATCAGTTATCATATTTTTTATGTCGAATGCAATTTAGACTAAATGTATCATCCACTTGTATGACTAGGCCACATTCCTACATTGATAAACACTCTAATTACAGCTTCAGTCAATCCTTCACAATATCTCAACAACTTTCTGTAGATTTGATTTAGATGAAATAAAAATATTCACTGAAGATCTCATTGTTGTGTTTTTTATTCGTCGTAAGACTTAACTCGAAAACTAAAACAGTGAAATATGCAGAAAATTAACACTAGTTCATGTTTTTTTTTCACAGTACAATTTAATCAGAATGTTGGCTAATGTTTTTTGAAATAAACATTTTATGAGTTTGTTTAAATGTATTTTTATAAGACTAGAAATCGTATTTGAAAGTATGTAACTTAGAGCTGCATTTTACAGATGCGTACCATACCGAAGCGTTTAGGTAATGGTTCAGTTATTTTGATAAACCTCCAAACACACCCTCAGAATTTACTTTACGCACACCACTGTCTTCTACTAGTAGTCTGAATACTAATCTATGCTTATTGAAATTCTGCAAACTGTAAAGTAATACTGTAGTGTCTTGATAGTATTAACCAATCAGCGCAAGCCAAAAAGGGTGTGTATCATAAACTGAAAATTTAGTCCAATGAACGATAAGCAAATTTCCTAAAAAATAATTTTATTTACTATCATTTGATTGGTAAATCAGTAAGCTCAGAAACAAATGGTCAGTAGCTCATTGAGTGGGCGATGTATCTTAAATAAGTTCAGAAGTTTAAGGAGGTGTGGCATAACTCGCTTTGGATCCACAACTTACACTTGGAGATGGGAGTGGTTTCAGTAAGCACTATTTCTGATTTCAATAACCATTGCTATTGATTATTCATATTTAGTTTGCAGTTTTATTTGTTTATTTCTACTCATTTACTTCAATGAAAAGAATTGCATGGTATTATTTATTAGTTAATAACTGTGTTTACAAATACTTTTTACATTAAGCCTATACATGAGTTTATGTTTCTAAGAAAGGACTCACAAAAAATAATCTCTCTAAGATATTACACTCAAAATTACTTCTAAACTAATTTAGGTTTCCGGTTTTGATAAATAGATATGCATTTTTGAGAATTTCTTTATCTATACACAGGACTAACGTCTACATTGTGTCGAAATTTGTTAAAACTTGAGTTTAAAAAGTGTAAATTATGAAGTATTGCCCTAGTGGAAATTGTTTTACGGTAGAAGAAATATTATACCATACTATAATCAAACGAGTACAGAATAAACCAAGGTTATCGTGTTCATTTGATGACTCTCGTTTCATAAAAATAGCATAACTTTCAATTTATATTGATGGGCATCCTAGTGTCCATCATCTATTCCATTACCTTATGATCTCAACTGATGTTCAACCGAAATTATCCAACATAAAATGAGATAGATTGATGTTAACAATCCGTTCCATAGAAAATTATCATTAAGTCAAAGGGAAGAATGTGAACGGCTAAAAGAAGCTTTCATGGTCGTTCTAAACAACAAATTGTGTTTATATCTCAACTGAAACAATGCTAAAAAATCAAGATGTATTGAATAGCTGTATCATAACTTTTCATTATAAATAAAACATTAGTTAGTGGTAAATTCATTATTTTGTCATAAAATGTAGATTACTGAGTGTGAAAATAAATGGTACAATATTTATTGAACAATTCAATAACATGAAGATCTGAAATATATGCGTAATAAAAAGTTACTAGTGAATACATATTTAATTTCTGATAGAGTAACCATAGTGAGTGTTTAATTGTTTGGTAATTATTCAATTGTATACTAAGCCAATCATTCTTATTTTTGAAAAAAAATTTTTTATCTACTAGGATAACGGTATCACAGGGAGTCTTATTTTAACTGTTTTTATTACGTGTATTGGATCGTCATTTCTTATCGGTTACAATCTTGGTGTTTTGAATCTACCGAGAAAGGTGAGTATATATATATTTATATGTATAATATAGGAAATTATTATATAATATAGATTGCCTGTCTAGTGATTTGTATACATGTTCCAACTAGTTGAATGTGTCTTATTTAATTATTAGTTCTGTTATATAAATAATTTTCATCTTCACTGAAACGAAAAGGAAAATTTGACCTTGTGTACAATGATTACTGGTACATAAGCTATCATTTAACTAGATGACTTGGCAATATAGCTTTGAGGTGTACCATTGAAGTCGATTGGCCGACAGTTTGAACCCACCTTTTGTGAATGTTAGTTTCTACAAAAACCAACACGCTTACAACATTCGAGCTGTCACATTCATAAATACAATTTGTTTACATGATTCGGATTCTCTGTGATGTTAATTTCAATCGAACCAGGTTGAAATGTTTTCGATTTAAAAAAAAATATAGCTAAACATACACGTACATGTAGAATGTTAATTAATAAGTAATTTTTTTATTGTAATGTCACACGTTCACTAATTGATTGAATCTTGTGAATTGAATGTCAATCAAGTGCTAAATGAGATGACACAATAAAATAATATAACATAACCTAGATTGTTGAATAGATGTGACCTATTATCAGAAATTTATTTGTTTTTGATGATGACTTGTAAGTAGTTAATTTTCAGAAATGATTTTTTTTAACATTTAGTGATATCCACACAAAAATAAGTTCGTGGGTGCGCACTGTCGATGAGTCCCATACCAGGATGAAACGGTCATACACTGTATCCAGGTTTATAATGGTGGTCTAACAATGATTGATTGATTCATGATTTCAATGAAAAGTGAGATATTTTAATATATTAAGCCTAGAAAGTTTACGCCAAAACCGGTCACTTATGAAACGCAATGTAGAACCTAGCAATTGTGTACATTAATTCAAGTTACCAAACCCTAACAATAGCAAGATGAATTTGTTAGAACAAACTTCGCTGTATTACAAATCATAACAACATGAGTGTGAATAAAAAGAACAGATAATAAAAATACAATTCACTACCATATTTTAAATTTTAAAAAAAAATCATTTGTGCAGAGTTTAGAGACTTAATATTATGATGGACAACAAACAGTGAATACACTTGCCACATCAATATTATAAATAAATATCCCCAATAAACCTTCAGTTCCTTATATTGTTCTATGTTGTGATAACTGCATTTGATGTTATGTTTCATGTAAGAGTAATTCATCTCAGACTATAAGGTTGAGTAAAAATCAATAATATTACGGATTATAAAGTCAAATTGTAGGTAGATAAACCAAATACTTGTTTTGTTGAACAGTAGTTAACTAGAACACATAGATTATTGCTTCATAGATCACAGTTTCATTTTCTAAGATCATACAAATTTTGTAATAAGATATTTTTTTTTAAAAAAAATCTGATAGCAGTACTTGATATTTAATTTTTATCAAAACAATTTATAGAATATTGAAACATATTTCAATGAGACAATTGTTCCAAATACTCCAGAATTAGATGCAAACTTCTTCTATACCCATGTCAGTACAATCTTTGTAGTTGCTGCTGCAATAGGAGCATTCAGTTGTGGTTGGGTGGCTGATGGACTTGGTCGGTAAGTGTAAAAAAAAAATACCACTTCTGATTATGTCTTTAAAAAAAAAGGGTATTTTTCAATTTCAAAATAACACCTACCTTAGTAAAGAATAGATAAAAGAAATTTTAAATCTTACAAATGTTGTTGCAAATTAATGATCTACACATTTATTGTTAGATTATGCTAAATAACGAAATGTAATTTACATTATTTCTATTTCCTTAAAAAGCCATTTTTTTTCCGATTAACGAACGGCAAGTAATAGGATTGTTTGCAAACTATTTAATAACATAAATCAGACTGTTTTAACCATGTACGATCGTTTAGACACGTGAAGTGAAAAAATGTCAATGAAATCAATTGTTCAAAAAAAAATTGTACAATTGATTATCTTGAATGACCCTAATGGTAGTTTTTATTTTTCTTAAAGAACCTAATCGATTTGTTAAGAGAGATTTTAAAATTAAGCTGTATTGCATTCCCTTCTACTAACTACAGTAATTGTTACTTTGTTTCGTTTTTCCCTTTTTATTTCTAAATTTATTGTTGCTAGTGCAAAGCTACAAAAGCAATAAAATTATGAAATCTCTTGATGAATAGTTGACTGATGATCATACATTTGATTTATCAGGAATTCTATAGAAGTATCTTTGCCTATATATATATATATATCAATTAAATCATACATAGAATATTACAATATGATTTCATCTATACAGCTACTTAAAATCAAGGTGTACTTTTGAAATTATGCTCTCTAGTGATGAGTTAGTAAATACTATAACTAAGAAGACAACTTTACTCGTTTTCAATATGTACAATGAAAATTCATCAAATTCATCGATATATTCTAGTAATTACTCATTTTATAAAACCTGACAGTATACATTGTTTAAACAAAATTTCACCTATCTTGAAACGATTCCCTGACAGTAATTACAAAGCTATTCTAGTGTCTATTGATGTATTGGTAACGTATTGAAACTACAAAAGTATCTGTAATCATGATAAAATCCCTTTTCAGATTAACCAGATCACTATTATTGGATTGAGAAAAAGTAAATCAATTTGACCGGGATGAATAGTATTCCTGTTTATGTAGATATCGTCAAATATTCATTTAGTTTATTTGTGTAATGATAGATAAATAAACTAAATGAATATTTGTGGTGTAGGAGTAGGTTGGAAGAAAGGTAGGGGCGGCCAGACCAAAACATGGCAGAAATCCATGAAGTCACTGACAAGTGGACTGAGTCATGTCGCGGTAGATGTAGACTACCTGGTTGGGGTCCGCGAGACGATAGTCACCAATGGTTAGAGACCTTGAACGACATAGCTCCGAATCGTTTGGAATGGCGCGAGTGCATCCATTCGTTGTGCTCTCTCAAATCCTAATCTTCTGGATTTGTCAGCACCTCTACCTTTATCTTTCTAACCTTAGCTCACTGAATTATACTTCTTAAATAATATATTCAAACCCTAGTCTTCTTTATTACCAATAATACCTCTACTATCTCTATCACAATGGGATTTGATTTGACATTTTCGTCTATGTGCTAATATGGTATGGCCACATGAACTGATGTACATACATACGAAGTTCTACGTTGCAACTGACTGACTGACTGACTGAGTTTATTTGTGTATAAACATTTTGTCATTTTTATTTCATCAATATGACAGAGTATGAGTCAATTTCAACTATCTTCTTCTTCTTCTTCTTCTTTCATTTTTGTTAATATTATAGACGGAATGGTTTAATACTCAATAATGTTATTGGCATTATCGGTGGTGTTATTGTTGGTCCTTGTGTACTTGTCAAACAACCTGCATTATTATATGTTGGTCGTTTTGTTATTGGTATTAATAGTGGTATTACAATTGGTATAGCTTCACTTTATTTAACTGAAGTGGCACCACGTGATCTACGTGGTGGTATTGGAGCTTGTCATCAGTTAGCTGTAACCGTTGGTATTGCTTTCTCCTATTTCATCACATTCTCATTCTTTTTGAACACAATCAATCTATGGCCACTTGCTGTTGCATTGGGTGCAGTTCCAGCCGCTATATCATTGTTCACTTTACCATTTTGTCCAGAAAGTCCACGATTTTTGTATATGAAAAAAAATAAAGAAACTGAAGCACGTAAAGCATTTTTAAAATTGAATGTAAAAGAAAATATTGATACATTTATTGGTGAATTACGTGAAGAAATGGAAGTTGCAAAAAATCAACCAGTTTTTAAATTTACACAATTATTCACTCAACGTGATCTTCGAATGCCAGTATTGATTGCTTGTTTAATACAAGTTTTACAACAATTGTCTGGAATTAATGCGGTTAGTATTTAATTTTATCATACTTCGTTTAATTAATGTAAAAATACTTTTGTTTAGTATTTATTTTCATCTCTCTGATTTTATGCACAATATTTTTAGCGAATATAAAATTGGATTCTTGCTTTTTTTGTATTATGGCATTTTAGTGATGAAAACGTTATTTCCGAATTCATTTCAGCTATGTTAAGACCGAAATAACTACTGTTCAATAGTTCCCCCTCTATATGAGATGGTTTCATGCAGAATTGGCAATGATTCAGTTTTCAATAAATATCATTATGAAACAATGACAACTAAATTACAAAATAAAACTTTTGAAATTAGATTTTCTTGCAGAAACATTGTTTGAATAGAGAAATAAGAAGACATATTTTGTGAGATAGTACCATTTCGTGCTTTCTCGTCAGTCACATACTGTATTTACACAAATAACATGTTGCTTGTATGTGACTGACGAGAAAGCATGGAATGGTACTATCTCACAAAATATGTCTTCTTATTTCTCTATTCAAATTTATAAAAGGGAACCACTGTTTAGAAAAATTGTTGTTTTAAATTTATTTGTTCCAAACTATTAGGTAATATAATATATATTTCAATTCAACTATCAACGTTCATTCTGTTAAATAAGTTCAAATTTTTGATTACATTAATCAGAATCCCTCTAGTCTGATACACATATTTTTTTTTGTTTTTTCTTTTCAAAAAAATTTATCATACAGGTTATAACTTATTCATCACTTATGTTAGAATTGGCCGGTATTCAGGAAACATACTTGCAATACTGTGTTTTTGCTATTGGAGTTCTCAATGTTGTTGTAACTGTTGTCTCGCTACCTTTGTTGGAACGTGCTGGACGTAGAACTTTATTATTATGGCCTACAGTCTCATTAGCTTTATCTTTGCTATTACTAACTATATTTGTCAATTTGGCTGATTCAGGTCCAAGTAGTACAAAAACGGCAATGGGCATAGTATCGATCGTTTTGATTTTAGTTTATATATGCAGTTTTGCACTTGGCTTAGGTCCAGTTCCTGCTTTAATTGTATCAGAAATATTCAGACAAGGTCCACGTGCTGCTGCATATTCACTTAGTCAATCGATTCAATGGTTATCAAATCTAATTGTATTATTCAGTTATCCTCTTATACAGGTAAATACATTGTTTATGTAGAGATTATTTACTGAGTTTGATTAAAAACAATGTTTTCTATGATGTAAAGTAAAGGAATAACCTTCATATTAACAATATCGTCAAATAATAGGTTGTTTGTAGAACTTCATACTTACCAATCATAGATTTAGTGATATTCCATGAGAGCCAGTTTAATGAGGCAATTGTAATGTATGAATTTTGACATCGGTCAGTCGGATTTATGCCTAAACAAATCGGCCAGTTTCAGTGATGTTTTCATTTGCAAGCAATGGTACAGTAATACTGAATTTCCAAATTATGTAAAGAATTAAAATACTTTCTCACCGATTCAACTAACATTTAGATCTAAACATGTTACACAAAGTGTCCAGTGCATTTGACTTTTTAGGGAATATTTATTAAAGATATTACTGAATTCGTTATACACAAAATCTGTCAGTTTACATAAATAACCAAATAAAAATGAAATATTTCTATACATTGTTCCCAATAAAAGTTACTACTGTTTAATACATTCAACTTAATGTTTTTTCTGTCTATTTTCCATTTTACAAATTCAGAAAAACATCGGTGGATATTCATTTCTACCCTTCCTTGTGGTCGTTGTCATTTGCTGGATCTTCTTTTTCCTGTTTATGCCAGAAACTAAAAATCGAACATTTGATGAAGTTGCTCGTGATCTAGCATTTGGAAATATTGTTGTAGGCAAGCGTACTACAGCTTTGGAAGATCGTAATCTCACTATATTCACAAAACAAGGCAATACTGATGGTCCAGCTTCTGAATCATTACTTTATTCTCGACCTGAAAATGACAAAGGTATATATGCATAGAGGAGTATGTTCATAATTCAATGAATAGATGAAATGATAGAGAGACCATGTTGAATTTTATAGTCTAGGGAATTAGTGTTTACATCTCCCTTTTTTTTAATATTTGTGTATAATTTCACTTCACTTACCAATGTTACAACACATGCATACAATCTTCATCTATCTGGTTATTTTCATTAATTTTAATTAAATTTTGTCACAAAACATACTTGACAATGATTTTCAAATGTCTATATATATATATATATATATATATATATATATATATATATATGATATTTGTGTGTTGTGCATTCTTTGTCACTTATCTTCTCATCGTTCAGTTTTCTTTTAAAATCGATCAATATTATTATTGTTATTATTGTTACTGCTATTATTACCATGATTATCATTATTATTAAACACCATAAATATTATTATATGATCTTTTCATTTGAGGCAACCACTAAGCCTCATTATGATTTCGCTCTTTTTATATTTCCGCTTAATTTGTATGCAGCGTCTTTTGTTGGCTTACTTTTGTTTTTGTACTGTGCGCATAATCATTCTACAAAGGAGCAATATCAAATATATCACACTAGACAAACAAACAAACAAAAGAAAACAGAATGAACATTGAATTTTAAATTGACATTGTTTCTCACCCATTGTTTCTTGCTTCAGTTTTTTTCTTCTTCTTACATACATTTTACCTGGTGACATTGTTTTTATTCAACAAAGTTTGAATGAAAATTTTGATCTCTGACAAATTATTATGATTATGATTATTATTATTATTGTGGCCATCGTCGTTTAATATGATTGTCCAATTTTTAAATTATTGAGTATTCACATGAATTCAACACCACACTTCTTCATATCTCTTCACCGCACAAATTGTATAATCTCTGTTGTTTTCCTTTTTTAAAAAAACAACATTGTTATTCAGTAATCAACTATAATGCATAGCTTTCACAAGATCTTGTCAATTAGTGTTCACATCGAATAAATTCATACTATTTCCATTATTATTATTATTGTCATTACTATTATTATTATTATTTTAAACGTTCTCTATTGGTTTGTTTTTTATCGATTCTTCATTTCGTAAATCTCATTTCTTCAACATGAATTCCTGTGATTAAATGACATTGCTCCATGAGAAAAAGTACAACGAACAGAAATATTTAGAAAAAAAAAACACCCAACAGTAGTGAATAGTTTGTGTGTTTCTTTTTTTTAGAAAATAGAGTATAATATGTATTTGCCAATTGTATACATCGATATTTGATTTTGTGTGTGTGTGTGTGTTTGTGTGTTGATGTGTGGTTTTGTTTTATATGTTGATGATGATGATGATGATAACATGCGCTTCTGTAATCAATTTCAGATTCATAAATAATAAAACATTTTTACATCATATATAAGTTATGTTTTGATATGTAAAATTGTAATTTTCTTGATAATGATGATGACTATCAGTTTAAGATCACTCGAGATGATGATTTTATAGAGTTGGCAGATGTTTTCATATTTCGACTAAAACAATTTATGCTTTTACGAGTACGTTTGTATGATAGACATCTTGCTATTCGTGTAGCGTTATGCCCCATACTAGGCGTCAAAATATCGGTCATAACAAAAAGTTAAGCTATTTACGCTTGGCTGTTAATGTTTCATTCTGAAACAGCTTAGGAGTACGAATTGATTATTGATTGTTGAGCATCACGATAAACAGTGAAATTATGGTGATGAATAAATGATTAGACTAGTTAGGTAGTTGCTGAATTCTTTACAATGAAAATAATTCCACTTTCAGTGGTTAGGTCGTTTGATGAATACAATTAATTAGGGATCAAAATGAGTGTCACGAATAGAAAACTTAAGCATTTGAGCTAAACTTTTAGGCGTTTTTTTTAACTTGTGGTAAGAAGGATCACGTCCTAAAGATGGTACATCAGCGTGATTCCATGACGGCTTGTTGAACGATTGGAGAAAGTAATAAAAAATGAGTTAGAAACCAATCCATTCTGGGTTTTGGTCTGTTTCCGAATTGTCTTTTGCTTTTCATGGGTTCCTTGTTGAAGAAGATCTTAAATCCGCCTTTAGTCGACCTTCTAAAACAATAATGTAGCTGAGAAGAAATGTCCTAATTACGTGATAAATAGTTTATGAATTTACGCGACTGTCTGAGATAAATTTTATACCACTCTGAAAAATCCACGTGGGTATCTCCCGCAGGCTACTTGAAAATAGTCCTACTATGCTGATTTTGAGAACAGCTATTGGGTGTCACTTTTGTACCCATCATTACCCAACTTTTCACTGCATTCGTTCAAATGGTCAGTGGAAATGAACCAAGTATTAAGCTCGAGATGATACATTCAGTCAAACCGTAGATCTAATGATAATTTTAGATATATTAAGAAACACTACTTATTTATGCCTGTTACCCCCAATGGAGATTAGGCCACCGACCAGCAATCTCTCACCAGATCTGTTCAAGGATCTCTCCGGTTTCTTCCAATTACTATCCATACTTTTAATATCTGCTCACAATTCTAGGCGCACTGTGTTCTTCGGTCTACCTCTTTTCCTTTGGATTCGATGGTTCCAAGTCAGGGTTCGACTCGTGATGTAATTGGGTGATTTTCGCGATGTGCATCCTATCCTCCTTCGGAGTTTTTTCTCCACTTCTTTCTGAGCTGAAATCTGGTTTTTTCTCTTCCATAGTAGTCTATTACTGATGGCGTCTGGCCAACGGATGCACATTATCTTGCATAGACAGTTGTTAATAAATACCTGTGCCTTTCGGATGGAGAATATCGTTGTTCTTCAAGTTTCAGCTCCATACAATAGTTTTTTCGAGTTCCAGATGTTCTTCAATTGTAGAAATCCTGCCGTCGATTATTCAGTTCGTGTCTTCACATCTGCATTAGATCCACCTTGTTCATTAATGATGCTAAACAGGTATGTTAGCGTTTTCATATCTTCCAAAGCCTGTCTGTCAAGTGTGATTTAGTTGTTACATGTTGTGTTGTAAAGGAGGATCTTAATTTTTCTTTTTTGTATGCTGAGACCTACTGCTGCAGAGATTGCTGATTCATTGTCCGTTTTCATCTGCATTTGTTGCTGTGTATAAGATAGAAGAGCTAGGTTAGAATCCATCTTATCTATTTCGTATGATGTTGACAATCTTCTCGGACAGGCCATAGTGTCGAAGAATCCTCCAAGGTGTCACCTGTCCATGCCACCAAATACTTTCTCATAGTCAAGAAATTTGATGCAGTTGATTGTTCCACAACGATCTGTAGTGTCACGTGCGATTTGGCCGTCTTCTGAATCATTTATTCGGTTTAACAACATGCCGTTGAAGAATGTTCTTGGTATTTGTAGTACAATGATTTCTCAGTAGTTTTCACATTTTTGGGATCTACTTTCCTTGGTATCTTGATGAGGCATCCTTTTTTTCCAGTCTGTTGGTACTTGCTCTTCATCCCAAATCTTGTTGAAGAGAGCGTCGAGTATCTTCGTGATCAGTGTTATGTCTGCTTCCAGTGCCTCAGCTAGTAAGCTGTCCACTCCTGCTGAGTCGCCGCTTTTCATTTGTCTGAAGGCCAGGCTGACCTCTTTGATTGCTGGTTGGACAATATTGATTACGTGGTCCGTATGTGCTGATTCGATGTTGGATGAGTTCAGTAGGGTTCTATTCTGGGGTTCTTCAAAGTTCTATACCCATCTTGGAACTGGCTGACTGATTATCCTTCCCTGTTGTTGACTGTGGTTCTGGTTTACTATATTTTCCAGCGAGCTTCTTCATTGTCTCGTATAGCTATCTCATGTTTCCTCCCCTTGGAGCTTTTTCTACTCTAATTACTAGATCTTCCACATATTAAGGTTTGTCAGCACTGATGCTCCTCTTCACTGGCTTATTCGCTTCCTAGTTTTCAGTCTGTGCCTTAGATTTTTCTTCTCTTGTTCGGCTGATATTGATTGCTGCCTTCGTGTCCTTCCATTCTGGAAACTTATCTAGAGTATCCACAGAGTTTCAGTCCTTGTAATGATGTTACGGCTTTATCCAGGAAGCCATCACAGAGTTTACATACGTTGAAAAAAGAGACTAATAAATATTCTCTCCCGAACAATTAATGGTTGAACTATTCTCCCAATTATAAATGTACATGGAACTTACTACTTTAGGGTTTAAATGTAAATTAATTAAACTGAATTGTGATTATAATGGACACGTGTTTAGTTTTACAATTTAATCAATCATTGTCAATAGACTTGCACAATTTAAATCATTTGATTAATATTAATCATTTATAATTTAAACGTACTTATCAGTTATCCGTTTACATACGTTGTATTTTCTACATTCCAAGATGACTGCATACTGTCGTCTGTTACTTCTTTCTATTCTGTAAATATTCTGATCATACCATGAACTTGAATTTCCTGAAAGTCTTTTTTATTCGAAGTTACTTTCACATGACACTCCGCTATATATACTACTTATAAGTATCATGTTGAAATTTGTTATTCGAATTACTTTTGTTTAATGACTCCGTAAAGTTATGAGATATTTTGTTCAGAATATAATACAACAAATTATATGTATAGTTTATAAGTGGGATATTCAATGGTTAGGATTGTTCCCCTTAGATATAACCAAGTAATCCGGGTGAACTTGCACAATACCTCTGATTGATGAACTTAGGCATTAGCAACGTTGATTACCGGCTCAGTGGTCTAGAGGTTAAGCATTCACTCGCAAGACTGGAGGTCCTGGATTCGATTACTACGAGCAGAAGTCGTGAATGCGCACTGCTGATGAGTCCTATACTAATAAGAAACAGCCGTCCAGTGCTTCCATGTTTTTAATGGTGGTCTAACAATGATCTGTTCGTGATTTCAACGAATCTTTAAAAACATCTTCACAATTACTTTTGAATCAAATTATTGTAACTCAGTTCGATGCAGACTAATTCAATAGGAAATAAGTTTTATTGACAAAATGTTATCAGCTTGAGGAATATAATTCAACATTAGGCAATAACGAAAACATCCTAACCTCATAATTCATTAACTTTAAGAGAAATTATCCTACATTCGTTGCCGTATGTGGGATAGAACAGATAGATCATCTGCCAAGTCCAGGTCGTCTAGTTGCATCCGACCTATACACTGTATTGCGTAATCCGCCCCCTCCTAGATAGTGACGTCTTCATAATCCAATCGACCACCAGTAGAAAGAGAGTAGGTGAGAGTAAGCAACCTTATTTGGCGTCGGTCTTCTTTTGGAATGAGTCTGTGAGCTAGCCTCCTTGCACGAATAAGACTAAGAATACGTTAATGATTTACTGGAATCATTTAATCTTCAATGTATTGTAATCAATATGATGCTTGTATTTGATTGGACAGTAAAACACCTACAACTATAAGTAACTATATATTCTGTATGAAATAAACTTAAACAATGAAATTCTTAAGAAAAAAAAAACTGTGATGAATAAATATGTGATTTATTTGCGTCTAGAGAGTTGAATTTATGAAGAAACTATCATCACTTTTCTCTTTTTTTTAAAAAAAAAGGTTAACAGAATAGATTTGTAAACATTAAGAGAAATAATAACTTATGAAAACAAAAAACAAATGTTTACAAAATATGCTTCTTTACGGTCACACTCTTCTACTGTTTGTTTGTTTGTTTTTTTTTTCATAATAAAAAAAGAAATAATTTAATGACTTTTGGTTATTTGTATGAAATAAACAAGCAAAATAGAACAAATTATCAAATGTAATCTG